AGATGTTCTGTTTGTTTACAAACGACTGAAGTTTTTATGGCTCTAAATAAATGATAGCCCACGAAGGGAGGAAGATTTCGCAACCATTGAAATGTCGATACACCTTTGTAATGGCGCCACCTGTGTCTATGAAATCAATGGTAGAGCGATAATTTCTATTTCCGTACTATCAGCGAGCAAAAGCATTTCCTTTTCTATGTTTTAAAGTAAAGTCGACAGCAGCTGGCTGAGAAACATGATCTGTAGTTTCTTGTTTCCTTCTCACAGGGGTACTCATTCTTCAACTTCGGAAGGAAAAAACGCCGGTGACCAGATCAGTGTCCAATCCTGGAATTCTCGGTTCTAGGCGCGAATGTAATCCTCTATCGACTGAACAACCGCAGTCTATTATCTCATATAGAAAAGAATCGTGAAGTGATTAACCGTGCCCTGTGAAATATCCCGCAATTCGAGTATTACATCATGGAACCAAACTTTCTGTCCATCATTTGAGGCCAACCACAGCAGATAAGTATTCAGTATTATTCCATACAAAGTTTTGTTTCATCGCCTATTTTGATGTTATTTTATCCTTTATTTTGGTAACACCTGACTGTTTGAATTTCTTGCCTGTTTCAAAACTGAAGGTTGTTCGTCACATATACATCGATTTCATATCCGAGCTTAAGTTTATCAATGTATGCCATCTATGATCCTTTGAGTGCTTAAGTGATTTAATTGCCTGTCGACCTTATAAGCGACGAGCACGTCGATCGCTTATCGATTTCTGTGATGTCACATCTAACTTTCTTAAGTCGTTCAGTCAATCATTGTAACTGACTTCGATTAGTAATATTGATTAATTTTGCGGCATTACCGTAATATTTAGTTCAATAGTTCTTTTCCTATGAATTTAGCTGCAGCTTAAAATTGAATGGAACTCTAAGCGATTCTGAAGGCTCGAAAAAGTAGTCCACTTAGCGGCGAACGCTTTTTGGAAAACACTTCACGATGTAGGTTACAGTCACTATGTAAATGTTTACTTCGCACAATTTCACTCGTTCGAGTTTTTGCCCTCGTTCCACTACGCCGAAGTGTGTCTGGGTGAGGTGAGGGAGTTGCCTCGTCTATTCATTTTTCTTTTGCTGAATTTCTTAATTGGTGTGATGTTTTTTATTCGCTGTTACGTCATATCTGACATATTTCAAGGCACCTGATCCGGATCCGGTCCAACCGTGATTATCGTCGTTTCAGTGAAAGGAAAAAACCTTTTGCGAGCAATAGTCAACAGGCAACTACCACCTTCACTCTTTGCCATTTAGTCCAACCATGCAGGTGAATGTAATCGTCAACTATAATCACGGAAACTATGTGAAGCCAAATATGGACCATTCCAAACGTCGACTCCAAACCTGATCGTTGCTGATTTTTGGAGTTCATGCAAATTCACTTTGCTAGTCTCTTGGAATTTGAAGTTGCTTTGCTATTTCTAGTTTTAGACCGAGGTTGACTTCAGAATAATCGTCCATTTTCCTTATGATGGTGGAAATTCTTATTCCCCAAGATCATATAATGGTCGGTCTATTGTTCGATTAGCCTCATAGTAACGGCGTAATGTTAGAGAAAAGCTTTGCTTAATTTCTTCTTGCAAAATTTTGGCATCCATTTTTGACATAATGGAGATCCTGACAAGCAATAAATTTGAAACTGCTGCATACAGCATACAAAATTCTGGACAACTTTCCCAGCAATCAGTTAATCGATAAACTAGTTTAATTCATCGCATTAAGCCACTAAGCGAGCATCAAACCAGGTGACCCTACACTGAGATGAATATTCCCTCAAACCGACAAAAGCAGGCTAGAAATGCCGCAAGATGCCACATTCAGTTAGGAGAGACGGTGAGGTCCAACACCAGTCCGTGAACCCTACTGTGAACAAGAGCCCACCAGACGTCTCCCATTTGGATCTCGATGGACTGGTTGAAGGAAGCAGAACACAAAGGCGTTAAGTTCACCAAAGTTGGTAACCTCAGTGATCTGCCTAGGAAATTCGCCCAAACTACGTTACCGCGACAGCTTGCCAAAAGCTGGAATTTCGACGCATTGATGTTCAGGACGCAACTGGCCGACGATAAAAGGATACCATAAAGATCTTCGCGGCTAATCACAATATCAGAGCTTTGTCTTGAGACGTGCTCATCAATATCTACATCACAGGTGTGAAGAAGATCAAAAGAGGTATTCTCGATGAGTGCGAAACCTGAACATCCGTCGAAGTTATCGTACAGTTGAGCACGCTGATTAAATATTCCTCAGAGAACCCAATGAAAGTCGGACTCTTACATGTGACGTATAATTCGTCGTTAAGAAAAGGACTGTACCTCTGCCACTTCGCTGCGACCTGATGCTACTTCGTATCGCCGTACTGATTCTGCGAGTGAAAAAGAGAGTAAGCCTAAAGTTAAAGGAATTCTGTACTCCACGTACACCATCGTAAAAGGAGATTTGAACTTGGACCTCGGAAGTGGACAGCAGAGCAAACGTGGCTTGTCGAAAGCAGCCATCTCCAAATCATAGATAATCCCTTTGAAAAAGCCGAGCAGCTGCTAGTAGACGTTGTTAATTTCTCAACAGCGATATGAGGAGTTGTATATCCTAAAACAGCGATCGATCTATCGAACGAGTCAAACGATACGAGGTGTATCTGACATTGCAGTAGCTCAGACGCCATGGCCGCGTGTCCTGCTTACTTGTCTCCCCGTTTTGGACAACTAGGAGCAAGGGCAGTGCAACTGTACGTGTGTATGTATGTATGTATGTATGTATGTATGTATGTATGTATGTATGCATGTCTGGCAGCACCGTGTGTCATGCACGCAGTCGGAAGGCGACAGGATCGACAACTCAAGCAAAATGTTAGGGCAAAGCAAAAATGAAACGAAAGTTTATAACCTTTGGAATTTCCGTCTTTCTTGCACCGGCATAGCGGGACCAACCTACCACTTTTGTTTTCATGTAGATTTTGGTGGGGATTTCCATCTCACCGCTAGAGCGCTTTATTTTTTTAAGTGCAGAATCGACAGCAGCTTCGTAACAAGCATAGTCTGTATTCCCCTGCTTTCGTCCCATTCCGTCTTCTCCACGATGTCACTCATTTATCGACCTCGGAAGGAGGGAAGGCCAGTGACCCCGATCGGGAATCGAATCCAGCACTTTTCGGCTCTGCGTCCTACGCTTTACCTACCGAGTACCCGATCTGGGGCAATGTACAGTTAATTCCTTGCTCAAAGAAATTCATGGGCAATTCAGAGACAAAGAACAGCCGCCGCAGGAATCGAATTTCCAGAGTTCAGACGTATTGTGCTACCACGCCACCGGTCTGCGAGAGCACACTTTGGGACTTCCGCCGACGCGGACTGCCGAAAAGCGGTTTACGAGTGGCACATCAGAAAACTTATAAATTATAGCTTATTTAAAGCTACAATGTTTGCGGGTTAATAAGCAATACATAGAGAGAATATTCTGTAGCCAAACGTACAAGTTGGCGTGTTCCAACTTTCAGTGACACGGCCTTGCGTCCTACGCATTGCAGGCGCTTAGACACGATGGAGCCGTCGTTTACTTAAATGGTTCCTCTAGGCGACTGAGAGGATATTACATATCAACTCTCCGTTTTATTTATGCTAGGATGATGGTGCACGCTATGGCATCAACTATCTGTCTTACGCTATGTTCTTACTTATCCTGCCTGGACTATTTTGAAAAACTGGGCCTACTTTGACCACCCGCAAGCAATTAACTTTCAACTTCGACCGGTGTCCGAACAGACTCCTGTTCTGCACGACCCAATGACGCAGGTACTACAATGCCATGAAACTGTGGCGTACCAAAAGGGTCTCTAGATCCCCAG